ATACTCTCTGATATCTACTGAATGTACCCTTAATTATTGCTTCTTTTTCTAGATATACTCTCCATTATCTACTGAATGAACCCTTATAAAAAGAAAACGTTATTGATCCAAGTACATAGAGGCCATTACAAAGTGGAAATGTCCGAGAGAAAAAATGTATTCTTTCATGGAATATGGGATATGGGATTACAAAGAAAACAATGTAATTGTTGCGGTGTGAATGCCTTTTACAAGCTGACGTAGCACGATTATAATTAATTATACTTGTCATAAGACGTTATGTTAGGACTATTATATTTTTTTCATACAAATAGTATTCCAACCACTACTGTGTTTCTTGTATCCCAGCTGGCCTGAAAAGCTTTGGACCCAGCGATACGAGTCAGCAAAGGATGTAACAAATATAGTGTAGTTGGAATACTATTATTATACACGCATCTAATTCTTGATAATTCCTGAGGGACTAGATTAAGATTGTAGTGTTAATTTTTCAAATGGAATTTAAGTCAAACACAGCAAATGTATGAAATCAAAAATAAAAGCACTTAGGTAAAGACTTAAATCATTGTCACATATATAAACCAAATCATACTGTACAGTAAACATACTAGTATTATGAAATTGTTTGCTTTTAGCATAAAGCTAAACAATAAGCTATCCATAAACTATTCATCATGGGGAATCAAATCACAAATTTTAGCAATATAAGCCTGTAAACGTACCACTAACATAGTGGGGAACTATTAGGAAATAAATTTATCCTTTCTAAAGAACAGCCAATGTGTTTATGTTCATTTTACAGTACACTGTAAACAATTTAGAAACCTCATGACAAGAGTTCAGCATAGTACGAAACTAAATAACACTCAGAGAAAACCTACCATTTTTTAACATAAAATGCAAATGTATGTGCATAAGAAAAGCACAATGAACTCCTATGAATATGATAAGTGGTATAAGTCACAAAAAAAACACAGTACAATACCTTACAAACACCACAGACAAATTTATCAGATATGTCCTCTTTAATACAGACGGTGTGATAAACTCGGTGACAAGATGAACACTGCATCACTTCTCCACCACGATGACATTCGAAACAGAACCAGTCATGACTGTCTGGTTCCTATTAAAAACAATGACAACATCTAATAAATATAGAAGGAGAAACAACAATATAAAATCAAAGCAATATTCCAGTCATTTTGAAAACAATTAAAAATTTTGTTATTCTGTGAATTTCTATATCTTATCTCTCAATTTACTGACAATAATCAACACTGGTAGGATTCACACTCTGACTCACAACAAGTAATCTTTTTTTCTGCTCAACATAAAAGTCAGTATAAAGAACTGACCTAAAAACTGTGTGAAATCATTCTTTTTCTAAAGAAAATATTGACTAAACCAAAGCAGTAAAAGATTAATAACAAAGTTAATTAATTAAAAAACCCAATAACTTTCTTTAGTTTAGTTTTAGGTAATTCATATATTACAGTATTAGGAACCTGTAACTAACAAAATAACGGACCCACAATCAACCTGATCCACAAAATGTCTAAAAATCCAATATGGGTTCAAATGAGCCCCACTGTTCTACACTTTCTTTATAAATTAAACAGTTTTATGCAATAACTTTATACTTTATAAAATATTTTTGTATCAAATATTAATATGTAGCAATTCCAGATCCTGTGGAACTCAAATATTAATATGTAGCAATACCAGATCCTGTGGAAATCAGATATTAATATGTAGCAATACCAGATCCTGTGGAAATCAAATATTAATATGTATCAATACCAGATCCTGTGGAAATCAAATATTAATACGTAGCAATACCAGATCCTGTGGAAATCAAATATTAATATGTATCAATACCAGATCCTGTGGAAATCAAATATTAATATGTAGCAATACCAGATCCTGTGGAAAACAAATATTAATATGTATCAATACCAGATCCTGTGGAAATCAAATATTAATATGTAGTAATACCAGATCCTGTGGAAATCAAATATTAATATGTAGCAATATCAAATCCTGTGGAAATCAAATATTAATATGTAGCAATACCAGATCCTGTGGAAATCAAATATTAATATGTATCAATACCAGATCCTGTGGAAAACAAATATTAATATGAAGCAATATCAGATCCTGTGGAAATCAAATATTAATATGTATTCAATACCAGATCCTGTGGAAATCAAATATTAATATGTAGCAATACCAGATCCTGTGGAAATCAAATATTAATATGTAGCAATTTCAAATCCTATGGAAATCAAATATTAACATTTTGACTCATAATAAGCATAATGATTAAAGCATACATTTTCCAAAAAAAAATGTTTAATTTTTTATTTTGGCCTTGAAGGTCATTTTGAGGTCACCGAAGGTCACTACCCCAAATTTGCTCTTGGTGCAAGTGGAATTAATCAGAACACAGGCACATAGCATATCAAAAAAAGGTTATACTGTGTACTATATAAATAAAATTAAATGAATGATACATTGCATTCATACAGAGATAACTATTTCGGATAGGATGTAAGGCTATTCCTACTGATTTCAAAATGTATGTTTATCCATCAAAATTGTGGATTTGCATGAATACAGCACATTAAGTTAGTTTATTATAATCCCATGTCATACTTTAAAAATAATTAGGGTGTCCTTCTTAGAAATGTTAGCATTTTAATTACTGAAAATGTATTTCAGATAGAAACTCACCTCTCCACATAACTGACAGTTATTAGCTTGCACCACTGCTACGAACATTTCTGTGCACGTGCCAAGCCTTTGAACAAAATTCCTACCACAACACATAATAACATATACTGCTCTAGGTTACGATCTGATCAGCATTAGACTACAGCTCTCCACCAACAGAAGTATGACACATCCTTCTGGCTCAATACTCCTCTCAAACACATTGTGTCTAACAAAGAATCATTCCTAACATGAAAAAGGACACACTGGAAATTGGAAAGATGAGTGGATAGATCTATTGAGAAGTGAATATCTATCTGAAATATTCACTTCAGATATTTTATTTACAGGACAGACAGCTAGAATCTAACATTGATAATATGGTGGACGAACCAGTGTCAATAAAGAAAATCAAAAGGATAAGCTCCTTTCACCGAATAGAATTAGTAAAAGAGAAAACTCATAAAGCATGTATTAGAAACACTTAAAAGAATAAATGAGTGTAGGAATGAATCATCCAAGACCTGCACCTCAAGGAGAACATAAGAACCATTTGGCTGGCATAACCACCAGGAATGGTCAGGTTCTTAGTATAGGGGGCAGCCTGTACTACACTTCCAAGTAAACATCCCAGCCCTACTTCTGATCATGAGTGGCATTCACTCAGTCTCACACCAGTGAGATTACACAAACCCATAGGGGAAATCTTCATATACGCTTAGTGACTTGGGGCTGAGAAGCAACGGCTCTCCCTTTATTCCATGAGAAGAAAATGAGAGGGAGGAATATGCATGAGCAAGAACACCAGAGAAGTGCATGAAAAGAACAGGAATTCTGTGTTATCTGCATATGATCTCACACTGAGACAGTTGTGAAAATATATATACTACCATAACAGAGTTTTGGAAAACACCATCTCAACAGTGGGCACCATGCAGAGGTAGACGGGTTTAACACTTTCTGTTATCCTCCACTTTATGCATATTTTGAGAAAGAGAAGTATTCCTGTGAGGCAACACTGGCTGCATGAGTGTTTCCAATGTCTCCAGTATGTATGCCTTTTTAGAACCTCGGGGAAAATTGTATATATCTTGAGATGGTGTCCATTTTGTCCATCTGACCAAAGGCTTCAATGAAATTCTGCTTTGCTTTGACTAAATTAATCCAATATTTCAGTTTACCTTTTCCTGCAAATCATTCAATAACATGCATCTGAGCCTGTAAAACCATGCAACTCTGGCAAACTTTCTCCAGTTCTGGCCCAATACAATCGAATATGGATTTCACAGGTACAACATGTCACTTTTGTCCTGTACTTCTATCATATGTGCATCCTCACCGAGCTGTTTGTCTTCATTCAGCCAGAACAAACACACCAGTGTCAGGTTACAGGACGTGAATGGTGTTGCCTTCACCAGAAGCACATGGTGCATGGCTGGTTGATCCACATCAGTATTATGAGCCAGATACCTCATGGTTACTGACCGGTCGATCCACATCAGTATTATCTGCCAGATACCTCATGGTTACTTGCTGGTTGATCCACCTCAGTATTGTGTGCCAGATACTTCATGGTTACTGGCTGGTCATTCCACATCAGTATTATGTGCCAGATACTTCATGGTTACT